TAAAAAATATATAGAACCATAGTTGACACTTCACTTGAGATATTTTACACATCTCGGAATGCTAACTGTTGATAATTCCCCAAATCACATGTAAATGTAATTAATTGTATTATGTTTCCAATAAGTGTCATTATTTTTTTATTAAGGTTGCGCTGGACCACGATCCCACGTTTATATTTTGATTATTCCTAACCGTCACCCCGCTTTGTCCCACGTGAAGACAGTTTCATCCGTCCCACATTTTGCGACGAGAAGATAGTTGGAACTTATTTTAACGGTTCTACCTCACCTTATAGGTGATGGTGGGACGGATGTAACTTTTTATTCTCATTTGTCTCCACGTGGTGATGAAGCGGGGTGACAGTTTGGAATAATCCTTATATTTCATATGCACGACAAAAACCGGTACCGGTAAAAAACTTTTACTATGCCTGTCTATATAGTTTTTAAATGTCTTCAGCGTCACTGCAACTCTTTAGTTTGACTTTGACCAATCATATCAGATATTGTTGATCTAATATGATGTGTGTTAGCGAGACATTTTTCTCCAATTTACATAACATGTTTTGTTGACTATATAACTTGTCTTCAAGTTATAACTTTAAGTTAAATGGCAGTGCTGCCTGTTTCTTTATAATAATTATGATATAGCACTGAATGTGCGGTTTTTTAAGCTAGCATTCTTATTAGAACTTGTTTTATTGTTAGCGTTAAGTTTGTTAAATATGTTTGCATTATTTTTTTAAAAAAAAACGTTTCAATCCTAACGTGAATGCTTAAATAAGGCAAAAAGATTTTCATAAACTCTTTTGTAGAAAATAAAAAATATCGTGGAGCATGTGTTATTTTAAACAAAACTACATGTCGATATATGTCACATTTGGACAAAAACTACAGAAATATTAATAAATACGTGATTATGCATACAAAAATACATTTATTGTAATTTTTTGATGGTTTTACTAACTTTTCACCACATCAAATCACAAACTAACAATTATTGTAAGTTTTAAATTGTCAATTAGATTAGAAATTAGTGCTTTATGTTTTCGTAAACGTGAATGTTGAAATATATTTTTCTTTATCTAAAGTTTATTCTATAGATGATAATTATTTTTAATTTGAATCGAACATGAAATGTCGATTTTAAGTAATATAATTATTTTTGTTATTGTTATGTAGGCAGCTACAGTTTCCACTATTATATTAATTTTGTCCTTTTAATATAATAATAAGTACATTTAGTTTGTTAGCTTTAAGTTGAGTTAGATTTAGTTACCTTGCGAAATTATGTTTAATTCCAAAAATTTGAATTTACTCTATAGAATAAGGGAAACTTTTATTTTATGTAAGACCAGTGCCATCTGGTGTCCGGTGCCTTAAACGTGCCTGAGCAGATTTGCCGCTAGTTGCTTACGGAGTATTATAAATATTTTATTAGATTTTACACACTTAATATAATCAAATGTTATGTTGCATGAAATTATTAGTATGTAGTCTTTATGTGAAATGCATATTAAAATAAATAAATGTATAAAATAATAGTGCCTTTCATTTCTCTTCTGTATAAATACAGGGTTATTGGCAATAAGACGTATTTTAATTTATAATATTAAAGTAAAATGGTTCTTTACTTCGCAATTTTTAAATTGGATCAGATAGTTGATTTGATAGATAATATAGTTAAATAATCAGTGTTTAATGATTTCTATAAATTAGAAGAAAAAATAAGTTATAATTGATAGTTTTTGACCGACACCCCAAAAGGAGGTACTCATTTCGTCTGTATATTTTTTGTTAAATACATTTTTGAAGTTGCATTTTAACTTAGTGTTATTTAGTTTGGCGTGTAGATTGACATCTACAATGAAGATCCGTAACTTGGATGATGGGATTGAGTAAAATAAAACTTCTGAATTGCGGCTTAATTTTATTAAAATATTACAAAGGCACTGTAACATCGCTCGAGTAATACTGTGTCCAATACAAAATATCTCGATGCCTTCGGTACAGTATGAAGCTAGAGAAGCGAGTATTGTTGGGTCACTGCCCGCAGCGTTAAACCATTACTATGAAATTGTTATTGTTAAGGTGCGTTTGCACTGTGGATGCCTTCTTATAGTTGCTTCACTTTTTTGAGCGCCAATCGTGTAAATTAAATGTATTTATAGATGGGCTAAGCTGTTTTTTTTAAAGGGGTAACAATGTTGTACATAGTTGTTACGATAGTGTCCTTATCTTAATGTTTTTTTTTGTTACATAACCGTACTCCCATCTCTAGCTTCAAACATACCATTACTTTGTGATGAATATTTAACTTTCTTAAAATAAAAACAATATCTCGCCGTAAACAATGTTTGTTACGACAGATAGAGAATAAATAAGATATTACTAAAGTTAACCGCTTCAACACGTGCGTCTAACAATTATTATAATAAGCTTTTTTTAATCATTTTTTTATTTATGTAAACAAAATATAAGCTAATTGGCAATCAATATAACGGTCATATAGATGAGTCGGTCTGTTTCATATTATTAAAATAATTTCTAAGCCCTCCATTCGAACGTGCGTTTTTTTAACGCAAGGCATTGGCGTTTTTTTACAGTTTCGCATGTACAAACGCTTCAATATCACTTTTGTTTCGTGTTCAAAATTCAATACTAAATAAAAAAGCGTTGCCGTATAAACAGATACACGGAAATGCGTTTATTGTATTTCAACGTTATTTTAACGCGCGTTATAAAAGCGCCCGTGCGAATGGACGTTAACGTATTATGCATTTCAAATTACATCAAGTACGAATTTATTAAGAAATAAAAGTCATTACTTAAAACAATAATGGATATAAACCACTAAATTATTTACAGAGCAAGAATTAAAAGAAGCTTCTCTGTTCTGAGATTAACAAATAAA